GTGGGTGTACAAGCCGAGACGGGGCCAATTAATCGGTCTACTTACCGATTTATGTCCCTGGTCCTGGGAGCCGCCGCGGCGTCGCGATTTTATTGGCTTTCATAGCCACCTCATCAATCGTCCCGCCACCTGGCCACCACCCGCCTCTTGACCGTCCGCGCACCAACCTCGTTATCCTTTCCCTCGTCGTCCTTACATACAACGTCTACTCGGGAAATTGGCCTCCCTTGCTGGCCCCGGAGATTAATCACGCGCGACCCTATCGATTTACTGCATGAATGTCCACCGTTTTTTCGTCCTCGTTGCTCCTGACTCGCGGAATCGAACGAAACGTTCGACGAGCAAGAAACAGCCAAGGAAATGGAAGATGTCGAGTACCGTAGGTGCGAGCGAACTCTTTTCGTGAGAATGGCACAGTTTGTTGGGTTTGTTGTAGCCTCGCGATATAAAGGACTGAGAGCGTTCGATCGCTTCGAACTCTTGAAACGTTAGAAACTAAGCTTAAGATTCATCAAAAAATTCGTAAGAATATTTCCGTACTTTAATTACTTGTTTCAGCTAATAAACTAATATTCCGTGAATATTTCCGATACCGTCGATAGTGTTGTTAGCATTTAACCCTTTTAAGTGCGAACGCGGTGAATAGCTGGGCTCGTCCGTGTGACCTGGCAGAAATTGTTTAAATCCTTTGTCACGACGTTCTAGAAACGTGACACGAGTTCTCGGCTCGTGGAACAATTGAGAAACGGGAAATGACTTGTAATTATAGATATACCTCAATCACATTTACATGTATGTATAATAGACGAAGGAAAATATGTTAATGTGATTAAACAAGAAAATATGCTCCAAATTATGTCGTGTTTGGTTTTGTTTTAATAAAAGAATAGTTACATTAGTAGCATCGGTAGCTTCTTAAATAAAGCAAGCTTCGTCTTCTTCGAGTTATGGCTGTTAATAGAAATTCACGAGAAAACAGAATTCAACGAACGAGGCTTCGTTAATAAATACAGGAAACTCGAAAAGAAAAACGTACGAAAGAGATCAGATGTATTTTACGTTTAACGTATTAATTGATTAGAGAAAGCGTTTTAAAAGCGTAGAGAAACCTGAAATTTGATTACGGAATTATTACCATAATGTAAGCATAAAAGTAAAATGAGTTCCAAATGTTGATGGAACATTCATGCAACTAAGCTATTGATTAAGAGGACACGACGTATTTCCATTACAGCACAAAACGCATTTCAACTCGTAATTTAAATATATCCATTATACGTATTAATTAAGCATCAAACGAATATGAAAATTATTGGAGAACCATAATTTTACTGAATTAATGTTTAAATGTAGCCGATTCTATATCTGTTTAAAAATTCTATCGCGAAATGGTAGGATTTTATCGTTAAGCATCGAAACAAAAGTTTTTAAACCAATAATAACTATTTAGCAAAAATATACATTCAGAATATAAAATATGATTCTGTAAAATAGACATTTATATTCATCGAACTGTTTTTATATAATGGATCACAATTCTATCTCCATATTATTTTGCAATCTTAATTCTAATACATCATTTTCTCGTGGTATCTGTGCGTCTCGAATAAGCATGAAAATAGTCGGAATAGTCGGAAATAGTCGAGACATCTGTACTTTATTTATGTATATGTATTTTCCATAATTTGCATCTTATGAATCTTAAATACGCAACTCGCTCGTATTACTTTTTTCAGTGCATCACTCACTCTTTCGTCCAGTATCCAAAGAGAATTATTCAAAAGTTCGTTCTAACAGAAAATTCAGTGTCACGCTTCATCGAGCACATATTACGCGACGTATTTCACAGCCATAGGCACTAAATATCTAACAACGAGACTGCTTTAGCGCAAGCAAGAATTTAGCTTCCAGTATTTAACACATTTCAAAGAGAAGTCGTATACACATATATAATCTATACGTACGTGCATGTATATACGTACGTACGTATTAATATATATTTTTTAATACATATATATCTGGAAAACTGTGAGTTTGCTGCGCTTTGCACCATATATCACCGTTGCAACTTTCAAGAACTAATTTTTCGATCGAGGTGTTACACGCCCACCTACTCGTTGTCTCGGTAGCTTGCCTAATATTTTATTTGCCTTCATTATTCGCTAATTATACTCGCTTTAAATATTTTTCAAACGTACATATAGTATTATCTCGAAATATCCAAATATTTAGCGATTATTCTAACAAGCTCGTGAACATTAGTCTTTGAAACGGCACGTTACCGCGTCGCTGCTAAATTACTAGAGGCGTTTATTTATCGCGAGCTATCTCATACATTTATGAATTATAGCTTGTTACATTTATCCGTCGAATCACTATTTAACAAACACAGCAAACTACAATATCATCCGCAGGCAACATAGAACACAAGATATCCAATTATTAGATCCAATCTAATCCTCGTCCGAACAAAACAAACACCTGTTAGCAACGCTACCGACGTAATATTGTCTCCACAAATACGGAACATCGTCAAATGCTAAATAATTCGTAATACGTTCGCCCAATACAAACAAATCGATAATCCAAGCCACAGATGCTTGGAAACAATTAGCAAGTACTTTAATTAACGCTAAGCGTAACGTTTAAAAGCAACGTATATAACAAATCACATAAATAGATGTGTATATATAACATACATAATCCAAGAAATTCAAGCAGAGTAGATTTAGACCTTTACATTCCGCGCTCTTCGTTTCAAAAAGTTTTATTGCAAAAGCTTCCTGATCGATCGATGATATTCTCCGACGCGAAACAATACTTTGAGCTATGTTATTACGTGATCGTGTGACGATAATGAAATCACTTGATGCAAACAGGAAGTCAGCATTCTCTCAGGTCACACGAACTACTCAGACCTATAGTCTCAGTCTTCCATGTCGTAAACTCACGACGCGCTATACGAGCAATCCGCGAGTACG